GCAGCTTCTCTTGCCAGATCTTTCCATTTCGTTGCATTCAGTCTCATTTCTTCACTACCCATAACTAATTCTAAGCACCTCTTTATCTCATGACTTTCAACCATCCCTTCTTCATTCTTTGTCACTCTTACTCCTGTCTTCCACACGTCTTGGACGAGTTTCGAGTTTGTTCCTTGGTCCGACCACTGAGGAAATGTTACTACCGGTACTCCGGAAACCAGGCTCTCCAAGGTCGAATTCCATCCACAATGCGTCAAGAAACATCCTACTGACGGATGGGAGAGAACCTCCACTTGCGAACACCATGGAACTATCATTCCTTGCTTTTCCAACTCTTCTTTGCAGCTTAACTTCTCCTCTTCTTTCTCTTCTGCTCCACTATCTCTCATCACCCACAAGAATGGGAAGCCAGTCGCTAGTAACCCGCCTGCTATTTCCTCTGTTTGTGATTTTGTCAGCACCGCCAAGCTTCCAAAAGATATGTAAATCACTGAACTTTCAGGCTTTGTGTTAAGCCATTGGATATAGTCTTTTGAACCTTTGACAAGATCTCCCCCAAATGAAGTATCTGCAGGGTTTTTCCTGTCTAGAAAGGCAGAAGGCATCAGAGGTCCAATCCCAACCAAGCTGTAATTTTGGATTGCTTGGAGAGCCTCCGGTTCCAAGGCTTCAAAGGTGTTTACGAAAACTTTTGGGTAGGTTTCTTGGTCAAGGATCTCTACATGCCGTCTCATTGTTGGAACGGCTCCAGAATGTGGATTTGAAGGGAGGAAAAATGATGGCAGGTCATGACTTTTTAGTGGCGGCAATCCTGGAAATTCGAAGAGAAATGAAGGATCCTCGATATTTTTCCTGACAATAGCTTCATAACCTTTGATGTAATGGTAAAAGATGGAAAAGACGCTTGCAGGTTGATTCCAAAGAAAAGTACAAGGGATGTGAAACTCACGCGCCACCTCTGCTACCCAAGGAAGAAGAATAGAGTACACGATATGAGTAAACCGCACGCCTTCTCCAATTCTAGCTGCAATGAATTCTCTCAAGGTGGGAGAACCATAGCGCTCAACATCAAGGACGACCGTGGTGGCATCAAGCTCCTGCTTGGAACCATCATCGTTGCCATCAGAGAAGCCTGCGTAAGATAACCCTTCCACAGGTGAACTTCTGTTCATCCGGTTGATGGCTGCAATGGATGTCACGAAGGTGATATGAACGCCTAGATTTATTAGGCGCTTAGAAAATTGGAGGGCGGGGTTTATATGGCCTTGTGCTGGAAATGTTACAACCAGGACACTGCAGGGTTGAGCCATACTGCGAGATTGTTGCTCAAAAGATTTTATAAATTGCTAAGATTAGTAAAGATTGAGTTGGGATGTGGGATGAAACAAACGCAGAGATATAAATATGAAATGATATAGTGATGAAAACCAAAAGTGTGACAAGTGCAGTGACGAAATCAAATTCAAGGCTTTCCAATTTCCATGCTTGCACCCAATAAACATTGCAGGTCTATATTTTTCAACTCCATAGAATTAAAAACGAAAATGATGAGCTACAGAATCTTCATCAGTTATTTTGTTTTA